TTTTTGGCAAAGTCTAATCTGGATTCTCTATTCTTCTGTCTTATGACATGGTTTGCACAATTGTGGTGTTGAACCCTCTGTATTTGCTTCTCGTGAAGTCTTCTCTTGATTGACGACTTTGTCAATGATTCGCACACCTAAAGGGTGGTGTGTCCTTAACTTGCTCTGGATGTTGTGAATGGGTTTTTCTTTACCTTTAGAGAGGTTCTGCGATTCCAATATACTTATTTTTCCACCTTTATTTTCAATATTAAATTCTTTCCGTTCAGCACAATGTGATTCGTAGGGATTTGTTTTCTCTTGTGGTCTCGCATAGTTGAGGTTATAGCCTATGATGCCAATTAAGGGCACTCTCTCAATCTTTTTTAAGTGGCGAATGAACTTGCTCATTTGGTGGTGACTTATATTCTTTTTTTGCCCACTGTTTTATACTAGTTTTTTGATATATTATTTATATATATTATCTTTTATTCTTTCACACCCCCCCTCTCAGTGGGGATCGAAAGTTTGGGCACCACCCAGCTAAAAAATTGTGGTATTAGTATTTGTGCATAAAGAAGCCAAGGGAAAGATGGAAAAAATCTCTCCAAAAGGCATAAAATTACAGATTAGACATTCTTATAATATGTCAACAAAAGGTTAGATTTTATTTCCAGTCATTTACACACTTTCAAAATAACAGAAAACAAAAAAAATGGCGTCTGCAAAAGTTTGGGCACCCTGCAGAGTTAATATCTTGTCTTGTACTGCCCCCTTTGGCAAGTATCACAGCTTGTAAACGCTTTTTGTAGCCAGCCAAGAGTCTTTCAATTCTTGTTTGAGGTATCTTTGCCCATTCTTCCTTACAAAAGTCTTCCAGTTCTTTGAGATTTCTGGGCTGTCTGTCACGCACTGCTCTTTTAAGGTCTATCCATAGATTTTCAATTATGTTGAGGTCAGGAGATTGTGAAGGCCATGGCAAAACCTTCAGTTTACGCCTCTTGATGTAATCCCCGTGGATTTCGAGGTGTGTTTAGGATCATTAATCTCATTTGTAGAAGCCATCCTCTCTTTAACTTCAGCTTTTTCACAGATGGCATCAAGTTACCATCCAAAATTTGCTGAAATTTTATTGAAATCCATTTTTCCTTCTACTCTTGTGAGATGTTCCCCTGTGCCAACTGGCTGCAACACAACCCCAAAAGCATGATTGATCCAACCCCATGCTTAACAGTTTGGACAGAGGTTCTTTTCATTAAATTCTGTGCCCCCTTCTTCTCCAAACGTACCTTTGCTCATTCCGGCCAAAAAGTTCAATTTTTAACCTCATCGGTCCACAGAACTTGTTTCCAAAATGCATCAGGCTTTGTCTATATGTTCATTTGCAAAGTTCAAACGATGATTTTTTGTGGTGAGGGTCGTAGAAGAGGTTTTCTTCTGATGACTCTTCCATGAAGACCATATTTGTACAAGTATCTCTTTATAGTGGAATAGTGTACCACAACTCCAGTGTCTGCCAGATCTTTCTGGAGGGATCGTGCAGTCAAACGTGGGTTTTGAATTGTTTTTCTCTCACAATCCTGCGAGCTGTTCTGTCTGATATTTTTCTTGGTCTTCCAGATCTTGCTTTAACTTCCACTGTTCCTGATGACTGCCATTTCTTAATTACATTCCGAACAGAGGATATATTGACATCTGAAAACGTCGCTTTGCTATCTTCTTATAGCCTTCTCCAGCTTTGTGTGAGCGTCAACTATTTTCAGTTTCAGTTTTCTAGACAACTGCTTAGAAGAACCCATGGTGCTGATTGTTGGGGCAAGGTCAGATGAGTCTGGGCATTTAAAACCTTTGAGATTGACATCACCTGGTCTTCCCAGACGATGATTGAGAACAATCCATGACACTGGCAGGTCTCAGCTTTGCAAAGGGGGCAGTGCATGCTATAAATTTCTGCAGGGTGCCCAAACCTTTTGCAGTACGCCATTTTTTTGTTTTCTGTTATTTTGAAAGTGTAAATGATGGAATATAAAATCTAACTTTTGTTGACATATTATAAGAATGTACTAATCTGTAAATTTGATGCCTTTTGGAGATTTTTCCATCTTTCTTGGCTTCTATATGCACATTAATACTCACCATATTTTTTAGCTGGGGTGCCCAAACTTTCGATCCCCACTGTATATATTAGTACTAACCATATATATATATAGAACTGATGGGGTGCCGGGTGACAGAAGAGGACAGACCAGTAGAGCGGGAAACAGGTAGAAGAGTGACAGATGATGGGCGCACACTGTAATAACAGGAAGGGGGATGAGGCGGGGCCTGACAAATTTTCTTTGAATCTAGGTGTCAGTTTTTTGTAGCGTGGTGCACGGGGCTGGCATGCGCCCTGGGACAATTTCTGGAAAAAACCAACTTTGCGATTTGCAGCGCGATAATCCAGGGCAAAACCGCACAAATTTTAAGGCGCCATTGAAAATAATGGCGCCCTGAACCTGCGTTTTATAACACAGGCTAGATTTTATGTGTTCCTGTTGAAGTCGTTCACATGGGGAAGATCCATACTACACATTGCGATTTGAGTGCCATTACAAAGAGGGTCCTGTGCGACTTTGTAATTACAGGGGAATAGTGGGGTGACAGATGATGGGGTGTATACTGGAATGACGGGAATAGTGGGGGCGTGGTCAGATGATGGGGTGTATACTGGAATGACGGGAATAGTGGGGTGACAGATGATAGGGTGTATACTGGAATGACGGGAATAGTGGGGTGACAGATGATGGGGTGTATACTGGAATGACGGGAATAGTGGGGTGACAGATGATAGGGTGTATACTGGAGTGACGGGTGAATAGTGGGGTGACAGATGATGGGGTGTATACTGGAATAATAGTGGGGTGACAGATGATGGGGTGTATACTGGAATAATAGTGGGGTGACAGATGATGGGGTGTATACTGGAATAATATGTGGGGTGACAGATGATAGGGTGTATAGTGGAATGATAATGGGGTGACAAAATGATGGAGCGTTTATAGTGGAATAGTGGGGTGACAGAGGATGGGGGCGTACGGTGGGGTGGACAGATGATGGGGCGCACGGTGGGGTGACACAGGATGGGGCGCACGGTGGGGTGACACAGGATGGGGGAGTACGGTGGGGGTGACAGATGATGGGGCGTACAGTGGGGTGACAGATGATGGGGCGTACAGTGGGGTGACAGATGATGGGGCGTACAGTGGGGTGACAGATGATGGGGCGTACAGTGGGGTGACAGATGATGGGGCATATAGTGGGGTGACAGATGAAGGGGCAGATGGTGGGGGGGCAGATGATGATGGGGTGTATAGTGGGGTGACATGATGGGGTGTATAGTAGGGTGACATGATGGGGTGTACAGTGGGGTGACATGATGGGGTGTATAGTAGGGTGACATGATGGGGTGTACAGTGGGGTGACATGATGGGGTGTACAGTGGGGTGACAGATGATGGGGCGTATAGTGGGGTGACAGATGATGGGGGCGTATAGTGGGGTGACATGATGGGGCGTATAGTGGGGTGACACATGATGGGGCGTATAGTGGGGTGACAGATGATGGGGTGTATAGTGGGGTGACAGATGATGGGGTGTATAGTGGGGTGACAGATGATGGGGTGTATATGTGGGGTGACAGATGATGGGGTGTATATAGTAGGGTGACATGATGGGGTGTACAGTGGGGTGACAGATGATGGGGCGTATAGTGGGGGGTGACATGATGGGGCGTATAGTGGGGTGACATGATGGGGGCGTATAGTGGGGTGACAGATGATGGGGTGTGTGATACTGGAATAATAGTGGGGGGGTGACAGATGATGGGGTGTATACTGGAATAATAGTGGGGGTGACAGATGATGGGGTGTATAGTGGAATGATAATGGGGTGACAAATGATGGAGCGTATAGTGGAATAGTGGGGTGACAGATGGGGCGCACGGTGGGGTGGGGTGACACAGGATGGGTGACACAGGCACGGTGGGGTGACACAGGGATGGGGGGAGTACGGTGGGGTGACAGATGATGGGGCGTACAGTGGGGTGACAGATGATGGGGGCGTACAGTGGGGTGACAGATGATGGGGCGTACAGTGGGGTGACAGATGATGGGGCAGATGAGGGGCAGATAGTGGGGTGACAGATGATGGGGTGTATAGTAGGGTGACATGATGGGGTGTATAGTAGGGTGACATGATGGGGGTGTACAGTGGGGTGACGTATGATGGGGCGTATAGTGGGGGTGACAGATGATGGGGCGTATAGTAGGGTGACATGATGGGGTATAGTGGGGTGATAGTGGGGTGACAGATGATGATGGGGTGTATAGTGGGGTGACAGATGATGGGGTGTATAGTGGGGTGACAGATGATGGGGTGTATAGTGGGGTGACAGATGATGGGGTGTATAGTAGGGTGACATGGTGGGGGTGACAGATGATGGGGCGTATAGTGGGGTGACATGATGGGGCGTATAGTGGGGTGACAGATGATGGGGCGTATAGTGGGGTGACAGATGATGGGGTGTATAGTGGGGTGACAGATGATGGGGTGCATAGTGGGGTGACAGATGGGGTGTATAGTGGGGTGACAGATGATGGGGTGTATAGTGGGGTGACATGATGGGGTGTATAGTAGGGTGACATGATGGGGTGTACAGTGGGGTGACAGATGGGGTGTATAGTGGGGTGACAGATGATGGGGTGTATAGTGGGGTGACAGGTGATGGGGTGTATAGCAGGGTGACAGATGATACAGCAAAGTCTGGAATGGCAGGCAGGTGGATAGTGGGGGTGACAGATAATGGGGGAGGGGGCAGTAGTAGAGGGGTGACAGATGACATATTGGGGTGATAGTCATGGTAGGGGGAAGGGGGACGGGTAATGGGGGACTATAGTCTGGAGTCCGGGGGGGGGGGGTAGATTTGGGTGACAGGTGGACAGAGGGCTGTCAGGTGACCGTCGGGGGGCGTGTCCCTCTCACCTTGCTCAGCATCTTCTTGAGCTGGGCCTCGGACACCGCCATGGTGATGCGGGTCCCTCCGTCCTCTCCGCTCACTCTCCGGACCAAACCCAGCCGAGCCGGAAACCCAGCTGTCCGCACCGCCACTTCCGCTTCTGGCGGGCGCGTCACTTCCCTGGATACAGGCCTCTGTCACCATGGCGACCGCAGCCGGGACCGCGGCCGCCATGTTGGAGAAGGGCAGGAAAACAACTTCTTCCCTCCCTTCTTTCCCCTTTCCTGTCTCTTAGAGGTGGACACTGGGAGGGGGAGGAGCTATGTGAATAATATTCCTGTGTACAATATCAGCCCACTGCCCCTCCCCCTTTATGCCACCTCTTCCATTGCCATCAAACTCCTATCCCTTCCATACCTTGCAACCCTGTCACCCCATTGTCCTCTTCTTTCCCTCTCTGTGAACCCCCATGCCTCTTATTGCTTGTCTCCCCCAACTTTCCGACCCCATATCCTCCCTCATCCCTGTATCTACGCTACTGTGCAAAAGTTTTAGGCGGGTGTGAAGAAATACTGTCAACGAAGAATTGTTTCAGAAACAGAAGTGTTCATAGTTTATTTTTTATCAGTTAACAAAATGAAAAAAAAAAGGACAAGACAAATCCAAATGAAATGAGTATTTGGTGTAATCGCCCTTCGCCACCTTCTAGGTAGACTTGCACGCAGTTTTTGAAGGAACTCAGCAGGTAGGTTGTTCAAACAAACATCTCAGAGAACCAACCTCAGATCTTTGGATTTATGGTGGCCTCAGATCCTCTGTGGATGTAGGCGGCCTCAGATCCCTCTGTGGATGTAGGCGGTGGATGGAGGCCCTCAGATCCCTCTGTGGATGTAGGCGGCCTCAGATCCTCAGATCCCTCTGTGGATGTAGGCGGCCTCAGATCCTCTGTGGATGTAGGCGGCCTCAGATCTTCTGTGGATGTAGGCGGCCCAGATCAGATCAGATCTTCTGTGGATGTAGGCGCCTCAGATCCTTCTGGCCTCAGATCTTCTGTGGATGTAGGCGGCCTCAGATCTTCTGTGGATGTAGGTGGCCTCAGATCCTTCTGTGGATGTAGGTGGCCTCAGATCCTTCTGTGGATGTAGGCGCCTCAGACCTCTGTGGATGTAGGTGGCCTCACGTCTGTGGATGTAGGTGGCCTCAGATCTTCTGTGGATGTAGGCGCCTCAGATCCTTCTGTGGATGTAGGTGGCCTCAGATCTTCTGTGGATGTAGGTGGCCTCAGATCCTTCTGTCCTCTTCATGTCATCTCAGACAGACTCCATGATGGTGAGATCAGGGCTTTGTGGAGGCCAAACCATCACTTCCAAGACTCCTTGTTCTTCTTTACACTGAAGATCGTTCTTAATGACATTGGCTGTATGTTTGGAGTGGTTGTCCTGCTGTAGAATACATTTGAGACCAATCGCACACGGCCCCGATAGTATGGCATGATGGATAAGTATCTGCCTGTATTTCTCAGCATTGACGACATCATTAACTCTGACCAAATTTCCAACTACAGTTGCAGAGATGCAGCCCAGACTTGCAAGGAACCTCCACCATTCTTCACAGTTGTCTGCAGACACTTGTTGTTGTACCGCTCTCCAGCACAAACTGCCTCCTGCTACAGCCAAACATTTCACATTGTGACTCATCAGTCCAGAGCACCTGCTGCCATTTTCTGCACCCCATTTCTTCCAGACTTCTCCAGGACAATAGATGGGTGTTCCTGGGTCTTAATGGTTTCCACCAGCTCTGTGCTAAGACGGTGCTGGACATCTTCTGATGTGGAAGAGAAGGAAGCATGCCGCATTAAATTTCCTTTGCTGACCACTGTGAATACGGTTCTCATCGTTGCCTTTTTCTTTATGCTTCTTCAAAAGAGCTCGAACAGCACATCTTGGAACCCCAGTCTGCTTTAAAGTCTTTGCCCGGAAGAGACCTTGCCGATGCAGGACAACTGCCTTGTGTCTTGGTGCTCCGCTCAGTCTTGCCATGGTGTATGACCTATGACCTAAAACTGTGTTCTACAACCTCGCCTTATGCAGGCCATACACGGGTCAAAATCCAAATTTTCTTTAGAAATTCAGAAATTTCATGTGCTTTGTAATCCGATGGTGCCAATATTGATTTCAAAATTCGACCAACCAAGCCTTCAATTTCACATGTTGCTACAGAAAATAATTTTTTCGTAGCCAGGAATTTTCTTTCCAGGTCACAGCTCGTTTTTTTTTCAATTATATTTCTCACACGATTCTCCCATCATTGATTAGAAACTAGTTCGTTTTTCAAAAAATTTCCAACATGCCTGATCACTCAAATCCGATGGTTGCACGACAATCGGCCGTTTCTGTGGCCCACTAATGGTGTGAAATTCAAACGAAAATTCTTAGAAAAGATTTTCAAAAGAAAATTATTTCAGAATGCAACCAATGTTAGGCCGGCTTTTGTAGCAGAGTTTGGCTGTTCCTCACCCAGTTTTAGGCCTCCTACACAGCTGTTTCTGTTTCAGTTAATGGCTGTTAACCTACATTTGAAATTGATGATCATTAGCACCTGCTTGATCTATTTGGTTAATCTTACACCTGGATCTTAGGCCCCTTTCACACGGGCATTCCCTTTTTCATCTGCCTGTTTACAAATAAAAAACCCCCATGTATTTCTATGGAGTAGCATATGTAAATGGATGATCATCTGTTTACATACGTTAACCACTAGGGGACTGCCCGCAGTACATATACTGCTACAAGGCGGCCCTGTGCGCAGGATCACGTATAGAAACGTGGTCCTGCTTTCTGGGGTAGGGGGGCGCGCGACTGCCCCACCCGCAGCACCGATCGCGGGCCGCAAGTGTCAATCACTGGTTCCCGGCCGGTGATTACCCACCGGAGCCCGGCAATTGCTGGCAATCACTGACAGAGAGGAAGGCTGCATTGGTTTCAATGGAGCTTTTCTCCCTGGCAGCTTTCAGCACACTGTTCTGGGATCGCTGGACACAGCCTCCTGGAACAGTGTGTAACAGAGCAGTACACACCCCCGCCCCCTAGTAAAACACTCCTCTCACATAGTTAACCCTTTGATTGTCTCCAAAAGTTGACCCCTTCCTCCCCAGTGCCATTAGTACAGTGTCAGTGTTTTTTTTTTTTTTTTTGCACTGATCACTGTATTGGTGTAACTGGGGATGTCAGTGACCCCAAGTCAGTTCCCCCCCCCCCAGTGTCAGAATGTCCGCCGCAGTCCCGCTATAAGTCGCTGTTCACTGCCATAAGTCGCTGAGCGCCACTATTATTAGTATAAAAAAAAATTAAAAATACAGTATCTATATCTCCATTTGTAAACATTATAACTTTCACGTAAATAAATTAATTTACACGTATTGGGATTTTTTTTTTTAGCAAAGATGTCGCAGAACACATTTTGGTCAAAATTTGCCAAAATTTGATTTTTACATTCTTTTACTGGACATGTTTTATAGCAAAAAGTCCAAATTATTGTTTTTTTTTCTCAAAATTGTCGGTCTTTTTTTTTATAGCGCAAAAAAAAAAAAAAAGCCGCACAGGCGATCAAATACCACCGAAGAAAGCCCAATTCGTGGGGAAAAAGGATGTAAATTTAATTTTGGTGCAACGTTGCATGACTGCGCAATTGTCAGTTAAAGTGACGCAGCTCCATAACACAAACCGCTTCTGTAACCGCTTCCTGATCGCCCTATAGCTGAAATACTGCTACAGGGCGGCAGAGGTGCGCAAAATCACATATATATATATATATATATATATATATATATGTGATTTGCGCTCCCATGGTTTTCACGCCCCTCCCAGATAGCGTCAGATTGCCCGTCAATACTCCAGTAATCACATTTAACCCCTTGATTGCCAGGAACACGCTCATGCACAATAAACCTCCATTGCTAGTATAGTGTCTGAATGGATCAATATTTTTGATCAGATCAGCACTATACCACCGTTCACATTAGTATAGTGTCCCTAAAAATGCAGTATTAGCGGGATCAGCCTCGGCACCTGCGTTTAGCCCCTACTCTTACACCCCCCCTTCTCCCCCAGCAAGTGCAGTGCCAGTAAGTCACTGTCACTTGATACATTGCACACAAAACCGTGTTGGCAGAATCAGGCCTGATCTCTGTTAGCACTTGCTGGTAAATTTTGATGACTCTCATATGCAGCAGAGTGCCAGTACTAGTGCCGCGCTACCTTTTGCTTTTGGTGAACTGGCGAGCACCAGCGGCCCAGTACATCTTGGTCTTTCACATACCTCTTAGATTGTAAGCTCCCAGGATCAGGGCCCTCCTATCCCTTTTGTATTGAACTGTATTGTTGCTGTATTGTCTCCCGTTATATTGTAAAGCGCTGAGAAAACTGTTGGCGCCATAAATCCTGTATAATAATAATAATAATACCAGCACTACAGTATCACTTGGCAACGTGATGAGTCCCATAAGTGCAGTACAAGCCGGTGCGGTGGCGAGCACAAGTATTGTCCCGCAACCACCAAGAATTCGCACACAGTACCGTAGAGCCCCTAGTATCCTTCCAGATGTGCTTGCAAATCCCAATTGGCAGCCCGCAAATTCTGCAGCACTTGTACTTCCCCCATTCACTGCCCAACCCGGAATTCAGGTGGAAATAGCAAATTTAACTACTCTGTTTTTCATGGAAGATCTGTATGCATTGATTGTGGATCAAAGCAGTTTATATGCACAACAATGTATCGCCGCCAACCAAATTCAAACCTTGCCAGACCATTCGCATGGTAACCCATTACGGTTTTTGAATTGATATTGTTTTGGACCTAACCCTCAACATGGGCATTACTAAAATAAATGAATTGCGGTTGTATTGGTCCACAGACCCGATTCATCAAATGCCGTGTTCTCTGTTGCCATGGCCAGGCATAGATATGAGAGTATAATGTGTTTTATGCATTTCAACAACAATACACTCTGTCCTCCTCGGGGTAACCCTGAATTTGACCGGCTCCACAAAATTCAGCCCCTCGTAAATCACCTTAACCAAAAATTTGCAGATGTCTATACTCCCCAGCAAAACATCTGCATTGATGAGTCCCTGATTAATTTTCCTGACTGCCTTGCATTCAAACAATTTCTCCCCAGCAAGCGTGCCAGATATGGGGTCAAGATGTAGAAGACCAGTGAGAGGGCAACAGGCTATACTTATAAGTTTTGGATTTACGAGGGAAAAGATAGTCACGTGGAGCCCCCCAGATGCCCAGACTATATGGGGAGCAGTGGCAAGATAGTTTGGGACTTGGTGTCATCCTTTTTCCATATGAGGTACCACTTATACGAGGACAATTTTTATCGGAGCGTGCCACTATTTAGACATTTGTACAATCTTGGAACTGGCGCATGTGGCACCATGCGACCTAATGTGTGCCCACCATTAGAAGTGGGTGGATGCAGGGCGGTATATTCTAATGGTGGGCATACCACACACTTTTTCTGGCAGAGATTTCTTCTCTTCTTTTCATTCAGTCCACAGGCTGCATAAAAAAAAAATAGAACATAGCATATATACCCAACAAGGACCAGCGACGTACTGGTACATAACTGGACTTTGAATGGTTATACCAGGATGATGCCTACAGCTGCAAGCATCATCCTGGTATCATTTTTTTCAGCCGGCTTTCATGTAAAAGCAGTATTTTTTACTAGGAAATTCATTTAAACCCCAAACATTATATATTTTTTTAAAGCAAACACCCTAGTGAATAAAATGGTGGGTGCTGCACCTTCAGGCTTTCAAAGTGGTCCTTGGATTTCAGGCTCCTGTATCTGGCTAGGCTCCCAAAAAGTCTCCCACATGTGGTATCCCCATACTTGGTAGAAGTAGAAGAATGTATTTTAGGGTGTAATTCCACATATGGCCATGGCTTGTGCAAGAAATATATCATTTAAATGACAACTTTGTGTAAAAAAAAAAAGTTTTTGTCATTTTCCAGAAACTTGTGGAAAAAAAATAAATCTTCCATGGACTCAATATGCCTCTCAGCAGATAGAATAAGGTGTCTACTTTCTGAAAAGGGGTCATTTGGGGGTGTTTGTACTGTTCTGGTATTTTAGTACCTCAAGAAATGTGATGAGCAGTCAGAAAGTAAAAGCTGCGCCCCAAAGGATCAGGGTAGAAGTCCGCACTTTTTGGCGTTTTGCGCTTGCATTGCTTCTGAGAGGGGGTGAGGGAGAAAGAGCAACTATGCTAATTAGATACAATGCTCTCCCTAAGTTAAAACAGTATGTTCCAAAATCACCAGTGTTGATGGAAGCAGCAGAGCGTGGGATGGGTGATCCATTGGATTGTTGTGTGTCCAATCCAATCCTTTAGGTCAAAAGCGGTTTTAGACCGGCTAGAGAACAGCGATAGTAAATCAGAACCACTTGCAGAATTGAGTGATAATGATTTGCGCAGAAATTTGTCATCAGACACTGAAAATGATTCTGCGACTTTGCTCAGTGATGTGTGAACTTGGCGCTCTATTTCAAATTTCAGTGTTTTTGGTTTGATTACATTATTGACTTAAATGTATTCTTATATTAATATTTTTATGATTATTTATTAAATTATAATTTATGATTATGTGTTTCAAATTTTATCATCCCCGAGATGTTTACTAGACTCTTGTTCGGACAGATTTCACTGAGTTATTCCTAAGAATTACAGGCCTGCAATAAAAAAAAATACATATTTCCATGCAAACAAATGTACCACTTTGAGCACAGAAATACTGACATAATCAGACTGTTAAGGACATTTTATGGTGTGCCAGGAAACGCCTCATCCACCAGCGGGAGAGGATGTCCATTGAGGACTGTCGCAGACGAATCCTCAGTCTGCTCAGAGCAGGGGCGGACTGACCATTTGGAAACTCTGGCACTACCCGAGGGCCCGGGGGTCAGTAGAGAGCCCCATGAGATGCCCCTGGTACCTTTTTCATAGGCTTTTTTGAGTTTGGGCAAGGACACAGGGGCCCCATTTTCCCCTAATGCCCGGGGGCCCCATGAGTTGTCAGTCCGCCCCTGGCTCAGAGACTATAACTTGATGGACTTTAAGGAGGAAGAGGACAGCTGAGGGTCTCCCCTTCCCCCTACTCTCCCTTACGCGTCTTTGTCCTTTCAATAAAGCTTCGGGCCTGTGAACCCTGTCCCCCTTCCCTTCTTCCCACCCCCCTCCAACACACCCGATGCTTGATTGAATTGGTTTATTCCGTAATGTTTCTGCATGTTATGATTATGTGGCGGTGCCATGTAGGATGTATGGGACAGGGGTCTGCACATCTGACATCGCACTACCAGGATACTCTGGTGGAACCTTAGGGGTCCACAAACAGTCTCAGGGTCATGCATGACGGGGAATTGGAATGACGGGGAGTTTGTTTGCCGTGTACACCATGTTAGGCATCATTCTGCTGAGTGAATGTATTTATTGTACGAATGGAACTGTATTATTATTATACAGGATTTATATAGCGCCAACAGTTCGCTCAGCGCTGTACATTATAATGGGAGATGATACAGTAACAATACAATTCAATACACGAGGAGTTCGAGGGCCCTGCTCCTTGGAGCTTACAATCTAGGAGGGAGGGGATAGTGGTACAGGAGGAAATAACTGTGGGGGATGGAGTGGTAGGAAGAGTGGAGGAGATCGGCAATTAGGTGAGGACGGGGTAGGCTTCCCTAAAGAGATGGGTTTTCAGGGTGTGCCTAAAGGTGAGGAGAGTAGGTGACAGCCTGATGGATTGGGGTAGTGACTTCCAGAGGATGGGGGAAGCTCTGGAGAAGTCCTGGATACAGGCATGGGAGGAGAAGACCAGGGAACTAGAGAGTAGGAGGTCTTGTGAGGAGCGGAAAGTACGTTTCTGGGTGGCAGATGGATATCAGGTCGGTGAGGTAGTTTGGGGCAGTGTTATGGACAGCTTCGTACGTCAATGTTAGTCATTTGAATTTTTTGTGTTGGGCAATCAGAAGCCAGTGGAGGGATTGGCAGAGAGGGATGGAGGACACTGAGTGGAGGCTAGTGGAGGGATTGGCAGAGAGGGGTGGAGGACACTGAGTGGAGGCCAGTGGAGGGATTGGCAGAGAGGGTGAAGGACACTGAGTGGAGGCCAGTGGAGGGATTGGCAGAGAGGGGTGGAGGACACTGAGTGGAGGGATTGAGGACACTGAATAGAGGTCAGTGGAGTGATTGGCAGAGAGGGGTGGAGGACACTGAGTGGAGGCCAGTAGAGGGATTGGCAGAGAGGGGTGGAGGATACTGAGTGGAGGCCAGTGGAGGGATTGGCAGAGAGGGATGGCAGATACAGAACGGTTAGTAAGGTGGATGAGTCTGGCCGCAGTATTCAGGATAGACTGAAGAGGGGATAGCCTGCGGTGAGGGAGGCCAGTGAGGAGGGAGTTACAGTAGTCGAGGCGTGATATAATGAGGGAGTGAATGAGTTGCTTAGTAGTTTCCGGGGTTAGGAATGGACGTATCTTGGAGATGTTGCGGAGGTGAAGTCTACATGAGTTTGTCAGAGATTGGACCTGGACCTGGACGGAGAGATTGGAGTCTAGGATGACGCCTAGTACTCTGTATTGTCACGTTAGGTATCATACTGCTGCGTGAATGTATTTATTGTACGATTGGAACTGTATTGCCATGTGGTGTATTAAGCGCTGTGTCACAGTACAGGGTGAGATGTATCCCGACTAAAGTATCTTTTTTTATACTTATGTAAAAAATAAAGTATATTTTTTTAAACAAAAAAAAAAAAAAAAAAACAAGGCTGCACCTAGTTGATAGCGAGGGAAGCTGTATGTACAGTAAGTTGGCAAGGATTTATTTTCATGTTTCTTTTTGTTTTGATGTTTTTCCTCTTGTACATAAATAGCACCTTTGTTTTCTCACCTGTTTTGTGTTGTAAACTCATCCAGGGGGTCACACACACTCGCTGCCGAGCTAACCCCATTACACTACGTGATTTTGTGCAGCCCTGTTAATAGTTCTGCTAAAGAAAGAAAGCCTAAAAAAGAAAACGAATGCAGCCGTGACATAAGAATAGGGAAGCTGCAATGGAATAAATGTTTGCTTTTGAGTTTAATTCCGCTTTAAGAGTCCACAATCATTGATGGTAAAAAAATGATGGTGACCATATCAAAACAGGAGGGGGCGCACTGTAGCTGGACGGCCCTGGGTCCATTGGAGATGGCAGGCTGACCCTGCATGAAGTCATACAAACACTTCGTTGAATGCAGATGTGTACTTTAGCTCAATATACTTTTTTGTCCCCATACTTGAAACGTATCACTTGAATGTCGCTGACACCACACAGGTCTCTCTTTTTCTCTCTTTTTTTTTTTTTATAAAAAGAACAAAGCCCCAATCCAAGCAACCAATAATCAATCAACCTTCCCTGGCACGCCTACTGCACTCCAACAAAAGCTAACCAGTCATTGGCTGACAAGGGTAACCGTTCTCATGAAGTTATTTTTAAGTTTTCTAAACACTGGAGCAAAAGTGGAAGTTTCAAATAAGATTTCATCTGTGATATCTGTGGAAATGAATTACAAATCAATATTGCCTTTAATAGGGAGCAGACCAGGGGCGGACTGACCATTTGGGAACTCGGGCACTGCCCGGGCCCGGGGGTCAGGGCCCATGGGGTCAGTAGAGGGCCCCATGATATGCCCCTGGTACCTTTCATAGGCTTTTTATGGGTGTGGTTTTAAGTGTGGGCAAGGGACACAGGGGCCCCATGATCCCCTATTGCCCGGGGGGGCCCCGAGAGGTGTCCAGGCCGCCCTGGAGCAGACTCAATGTATGGCTTTTTATTAGCGGGAAAATGCAGTTCCCTCCAGCACTGAATAGGGGGCTGGATCATGGTGGAGGGTCTATTGATGCTGCCCTGCAAGGGGATCCATTGTTGCAGGGGGTCTATTAGTACTAGGAAGGTCTGTTGTTACTGGTAAGGATCTATTGTTGCAAAGTGAAACAAAAAGAAAGCGCATCAACCTTGCCCATTTCCTCAATACAAAAGTTGACTTTATTAAAATTAGTTATTTACTCTCAAAGGAAGCAGTAAAACAAGCGTGCAAGATCCTCAAGGCGCAGCATTAAAGTGCAAGACCAGTACGAGAGCTCTGAGGAAGAAGGGACCCCCTTTGAAACGCAGTCAGCAGAACTTTTGAGAGTCTCCCCCTTGATGTGACTAGCACTGGTCTTGCACTTTAATGCTCCTCTGAGGATTTGTGCACGCTTGTTTTACTGCTTCGTTTGTGAGTATATATCTTTTGGTAATGCTCCTTTGAGGATTTTTGCACGCTTGTTTTACTGCTTCATATGTGAGTATATATCTCTTTTGAATACGTTTTGTATTGAGGTAATGCGCAAGGTTGCTGCGCTGTTTCACTTTGCAGTACTGGTCGGGCTTTTCCTCAGCCTCGTTAAGAGCTGCACAACCTTTGATCCATTGGTGGACGAACTTCCATAAGTGGTCCATCCACCCACTCCATCCATCGTTTGATCTGGCATCCCTGAGCGCAGGAAAAAAAGAGGCGTGGTCATTAAGTTTCTATTTTCACAAGGATCTATTGTTCCCCCCTTGATGTGACTAGGGGATCAATTGTTTTGCGCTAGTATATGGATCTACTGTTGTAGGGGGGGTTTTGTCACATTTGCAGGGAGGGGGTGGACTAACTCTACCAGGAGGTTGCTGGCTGCTGGGAGATCTACTGTTTTGTTGCTGGCAGAGATCTGTTATTGATGGGTGGTATTTTTTGTTAGGAGGGGGATTTGTTGCTGGGAGGATCTTTGTTGTTGGGGGGGTAAGGGGGAGTTTGTTGCATCTGCAGGGGATCTATTTTATTGTTTTTCTTGTTATCAGTAACAAAGTCCATATAAATTATTCAGCATCGCAAATTGATGCTTCTGTACACTCTGGAAAGGGACAATACTAGGAAGTGGGACCAAGGAACGGGGCTCATAGGTAAGTAGAGGGAGGAGACAAGAAGTAACTCAAAAGGGAGGAGTACCTGCACCTACTCTAGGAAAAAAACCTGCTACTGTGACTTGAGTTGCTCTTTTTCTGTTCAACTAGGATCTATGATCCTGGAACCTGACATACTGCATAATAATGGTGACGCTGCACTGCCATAAATAATTAAGAGGACCTGTCAAGCTGGGTATTGCCAAGGCTCCCATCCAGTGCTGAATGAGGAGATCATCCAGCTATTGGATATATAGAGCTAGGTGTAGGGCAGAGCACACCCATGCAGTATCAGCGGCTTGCAACAAGTAACTTTCACCATGACAGGTTTTCTTTAAAGTGAACCTGTCTTGTCTGTGTCCAATCACTACATTACAGAATGGTAGCAGGCAGATTTCCAAATCATCTGCTCTGTCTCTGACTACCTAGGAGCGCCAACCAATGCTCGGTGACTGGTGTGATGGCATCCTTGACTTAAGTGGTTGTAAACTCTTACCTATACCCAATGAAGTGCCTGGCCTCAGGTGATACACAGAAACAAATCCCCCTGCACAAGTTGTACCAGTTTATCCTCATACCTTTCTTCTCTACATCCAAAGTGAGAATATGTACTGAGCTTCCAGAAAGCAGGGGTGGGAAACTGAAAAGCTCAGTGAGAGCTGACTGGAGGGAAGGGACAAACTGCCTTCACACAGCAATAGAACTGAAAGTGTCAATCACAGGCTGTGTGCTGAGCTCCTTCCTGAGTCACCTTTTTTCCCTCTTGGTGTCAGGAAAAACCTGTCAGAGATGACTCATGCAGATAGCAGAGGAAGGATGTAGCAGACAGAAACAACATTTAGAGCTCTGGATTGAGACAAGTATACACTATAGGTGGATGTGCTTTTGTTCATATTTCATGTCTGAGGTTTACAACCACTTTAGGTTTGACTCAGCAATTTCACCCCTATCATCTTAAACTGGCCATACATGGATTATATTTCATCTCTTCCATTCTGAATTGCCTGAAAGGTGATCTGCAGGTGGCCATGTCAGCACCACCCAGCTTGCAAAACTTCAATCTGCAGCATGAAGAGACAACCAGTCGCCAATATGTCACTGCAACCAATCAGCTGCAATCACTATTCTGGTACTCTGACAGCCGCTGGCTTTAGAATATTTAGAATACGATATAGTCGCAGGCGAAGGTTCAGAGGGAGGTGGGAAGAATTTGTTAGATTTCTTTTGTTCAGCTGATTGAGAATGATCCACGCGTGTATGCTTTAACATACAGTGAGAATGCTGCCATTTGGCCACTGTGATGGTCTTGTTGATTTTGGGATTTGACAAAGCTCTAGAGCAGAAGACAAGGCTAAAGGTATATAACACCCCCCCCCCCCCCCCCCCCACCCCCCCCCCCCCCCCCCCCCCCGGCCCAGTGTGGGCCCCGGATCTCAGGGGACACAGGAGTGGGTTAGTTAATTAGTAGGCGCATGCAGCCTTTGATGCCAGCTCCCATACTATGATGTTAGACATGACAGGTTCCCTTTAAGCCTGTAAAAATGCCAGCTTGACCATTTATAAGAAGAGCACTTCATAATTGTTCCATATACAAACTACAAAAACTTTCTTCCATTCTTTCAGTAACCCTGCAATAATCTCTTCATTGTAGGAGAGTGATACTCTGCACTGCAGAGATCATCCCCATCCAACTTCATTGCGTAGTAGAGAAGATAGAGGAGTCCAGCTCCATGAGGTTACAGTTGCAGCTGCTTCTGAAGATTGTGTAATGGATGAGGCACTTTTCTGGAGGGCTGCAGTCATCGTATCATCCGGTTGAAGGATCTCAGGTTCCCATACACCCCAGTGGTTCCCAGTACACACGGCAGGCTTAGAAATACCTCCTCCTGTATGTTGTAGAAAACCCTGGTTGGTCACCAAAGAGAGAGAAAACAATTAGGACCAGCAAAATAAAATACTACTACAGATCTATCTCCAACTGTATTCCAGAACCCCCAACATGACCAAATCTATAAAATTTTTAATTTCGCAACACTTCTCCGGGTTAAATCACCTGAATTTTAAACGGACTCTTCTAAGTCAGTCAGGAGATAGACCTCATCTCAAGTACTCTTAAAGTGGAACTAAACCCATCAACTTAACAGTTTCAAAAGACAGTTACACTACCGGGACAAGTCAGGAAATGTCACATTGGCTGTGCTCTCAATCAAACTGTCAAACCATCAAATGGCTGGTGTCATAACTGATCACATGTGCAGCATCATGGCAGTTTAAGATCAGACAGAGGCCAAGATGGCAGCTTCCTTGGCTGTAGGATAAGAGGGTTTAGTTCCGCTTTAAGATAAGACAAAAAAAAAATTGCTCAAGTGTCAGTTGAGTTCAATCAGAAAGGTAAAGAGAAGCCTAGAAGAGGATGATTCTCTAACGTATGTTTGGGTCATACTAGAGGGCCTAGTTTCCACCAAAAGGGAAAAGGATTTTGAAGGAAGCAGGGAAGGAGTAAGGCTTGTAGGTCCACATTTGGGTCATGGAGCAATAGAACAATTACTTAAA